TCCTCCTCCTCCGCCTCCTTCGCCTCCGCCTCGTCCTGCTCCTCTCGGAGGCGCGCAAACATGGGCGATCCCACGGGTTTGGCTCGCGGTCGCCAAATCCACGGATCGGGGGAGGTGCCCTCCCCACAATGCGGCCAGTGCTGCCACGCTCGGCGGCGGAAATCCGCGATCTCCCCTGGAAGCGGGACCCGTCGCTGATCCACGCCCCCTTGATCTAGGTTTGAGATCGTCTGATCCGTGGCTGCCCCCCTTCCTCTCCCCCCACCCCCTGCCCTAAGACGGAGCCAGGACGAATCCAGGTTCGGACGAAGGTACATCGAGAGACTCTGAAATCCGGACGGTCTCGAGGATGTCCATTGAGCAGGGACCGACCGTCCCGGCATTCCTATAGTCCTACCACGACATGTTCTTAGAACCCAGAATTGGCCTAAGAACAAACACAGTGTTCTTAGAACTTAACCCCGATGTGCTAAAACAAGACAGACTCCGCCAGAACTGTTCCAAGAACACTTCGTGGAAACCACCACAGGTCCTTAGAACATTGCTTGGTAGAGCCAGGACGCCTCGCCACCGCTCGAGTCCAGGGCGCCGCGGCCTCCTCAGAGCCTCCCGCCGCGCTCTGCGAGCCCTCGGGGACGCTCCGACACGGCCTTGCTCTCGCCCTTGCCCCGCCCGGCCCCGCCCCCTGCCCCCCACTGGGCGGCGAGCGAGGAAGGGAACTGCGGAGGAGAAGGCCTTCTCAGTAGGCTCGGAAGTCCCCCCGCCTTCTGAGAAGGCGCCAGGGCTCCCGAGAAGTCCCGCCGCCTTCTGAGGAGGCGGTCTCCTTCTCGTCTCCGCCCCTCGCTCGCCGCCGACCCACACCGTCCTCACGCCGTCTGGAAACCTGCAAGGCCGGTGCTCCAGGCGGGGGGCGGGCGCCCCTGAGAAACACTCGGTTCATCGGGGGGGTCTGCATCTAAGAGGCACTCGGGCTGGGTGCCATGACTGCACGGCTCTCGAGCAGACGCCTCAGGATGCTGCTAGTATTGCGCTGGTAATGACCTGAATGATGCACGGGGATGGTAGACTCCTGCGGAAAGAAACGCTTGACAATCAGGGTTGCGCTCGCAGCGCAGATCGGACAACAAAGCGGCGGAAGAGGCACAGCACGATTGACACCGCACAAGCATTGAGGGGGGATAGCAGCACTGACTTCTGGCTGCAAGCAGGGAGCGGGGGGCTTCTTCGGGAGACTACCTTCACAAATGCAGAATCGGAACATTCAAGTGACTATACATGCGATTTCAGTCACATGCCGCATCGGGTTGAAATCACAGCCTCCCAGATCAAGAAGCGCGGCGAACTACAAAAAGCCACGTTGGGAGTTTAGTGGATTACAGACGAAAGCCGTGCGACGCACGATGACACACACACACGCACACATGTGTCCTCCGGCACGCTGAAGAAACCACTCAGTGGTTTACTTAGCCAGGCTAAGACACGATCAAAACAATGAGCTCCCCTGTGAAACAAACACACCATATTTTCAAACAAACGCGCTCGCTTCGCGCGCGATTCATTTCTAGGAAGCTGTGGCCTCAGTACACAATGTGCGGTTTCAACAACAAAAACGTATGCTCCCACATGGGTTGTCAGGATCTTCTCACACTTGAGTGTTGACGCATCTGGAATCTACGGGTCCATCTGCATCATGAAATGCCCCCTCCTCTCCTCCCCGCCAACCTCTCTTCCTCCCCTTCGCCCATCCGCCCTCTCCACCCCCTCCTCCCTCTCTCCATCCCTCCACTCCATAAGAGGTGATTGGAGTGAGCGGTTCTGAAGACAGGACCCCTCCAACGAGGTCTGGCGGGCCGATAGGAGTGCCTTCCTCATCCTGCTCGTTCATGCTTCTGTTTCTGTGATTGCTGGTGTTCCCCTTTGAAAAAAAAAGAAAAGCAGCATGAGCATAGGCTGTCGGAGGTCCGCGCGGAGTTCTTGGGCCTGCGCTGGACCCCCCTCCCCGGCGCGTGGAGCGCCCCCTGTGGCGGCGCTGGCGGCGCTGCCAGGGGAGCCCGGCGCAGACCCGAGAAATGCGCGAGGAGCTCCTACAACCTCTCGCCATCGCTCGGACGTCCATTCCCTGTGTTTTTTTCGGTTTCGTGCGAGGTTTTTTCGCCAAATGATCAAGGATGCTCTTCGATAGTTTTCGCCGAGAAAAAATGCACACGTCCGAGCGATGCCAGGCGCTGGCGGCGCTGCCAAGGGAGCCCGGCGCAGATCCGAGAAATGCGCGCGGAGTTCCTAGAACCTGCGGCAGGCTGGCGTCGTGTCGACCATTGGTTCCTGACACCGCGGGGACCGTTCCATTCGGGTCGGGCGAAAGGGGAGGATATCAAAGGGGGGGTTTGAGAATCAGCTCACGTAGCTGATTTTCCCGGCGCCTCCCGGCGCCAGGAGGCGCCCATGTATCGAGGACTGGGCCCTTGGGCGGGGCCGAAACCAGCTGCATGCAGCAGATTTCGCATCCCCCCCTTTCCCAATACCCCCCATTTCGCCCGACCCGCTCCATCTGGAACGCTCGGCCCTTCCAGCAGGGCCGGATCACTCAGGGCTGGGCCGATCCTAGGCCACAGGCGGCGCTCAGACTGGAACGCCCGCGCTGGGGTCGCCGCTGGCCGACGCGACGCGGGCCTGCCGTGCGTCTGTTTTGCCACTGTTGCTTCGTCTAGGGCAACAAACAATGACATAACCATCAAAGTCGGAGGTCCGCGCGGATTTCTTGGATCGGCGCTGGACACCCCCTCCCTGGCGCGCGGAGCGCGCCACGGGCGGCGCCGGAGGCGCCGCCGGGGGGCCCCCAGCGCCGATCCGAGAAATCCGCGCGGACCTCCGAGTTTTTAGGTTTATGTCACTTTTTGTTCCCCGATCTTCGACTGGTTAGGGAGCCCACAAAGGACGTACGCGCCCAACTACGTACATGAACACGGCCCCTCGATCCGCGAGACCGGCCGCGTGATACGAACATTCGCGCTTGGAATACTCTCGAAACCAACGTGGATTCATGTACGTGTGCGTCCTTCTCCCGCTCCTCGACTGGTGTTGCCCGGTGCGGGTGTTTAAAACGACGCGACGATCGGGACAACATCAGATCGGGATAACTCGAAATCTCTGAGAATCGGCGGGTTTGGAGGATGTATTGGGCGCCGCGGCCGCTCCAGAGCGTTCCGGAACGCTCTGAGAGCGCTCCGGAACGCTCTGGAGCGATTTATCCCGATCCTAGCCCTGTTTTAGTGTTGGAGGTGCTGCCGCCGCCGTGGCGGCTGCCGCTCCTGCCTGCGGCCGCCGAGGCCACCGTGCCGGCCGGGCCACGGGCCGCGGCCGGCAGCGGGGCCGGGCCGGGAGAGCGGGGCCCGCCTCGGGCTCGCGGGGGGAGAGAGCCGCAGCGTGCAGTCGAGAGCCCCAAGGAGGGCCTCGCCATCGCTCGGGCGCCCGTTACCTGCGCTTTTTGTCGGTTTCGTGCGTGGCTTGTTCGCCGAGTGGTCAAGGATGCTCCTCGATAGTTTTCGCCGAAGGAAAAGTGCACACGTCCGAGCGATGCCAAGGGACGCGCGGCAAGGACGCAAGACCCTTGGAGGCCGAAGTTGGGATTCTTTGGGGCGGCGGGCGACTAAAACCCCAAGGGCGCGAGAGCAAGGACGAGCAAGGACGCAAGGGTACCCTGAGCAAAGTCGCGCGTCCTTGTTAGGGTGTTTGACTGTATGTTGCTCCCATCGCACTGAAGGACCACATTCCCGAAACGGTTTCGGGCACTCAGAGAAGTGTCGAAACGGTGTCGAATGAGCATCGCCTCCTGGGACCCGACACGTGAAAACCCTGAAGAACCGGTGCTGCCTTGGTGCTCGAAATTCTTTATGGTGATCATGGCCAAAGTAGGTTGGGGAGTGCGCGCGCGCGGAACTCGCGAAGGGGGGGTCCCCCCTTAGCTACACCCCCCCTTTTCGAAGGGAGGGGGGTAGCTTCGGAGGCTCCCCCCCCCTTTCGAAGGAAGGGGGGGGTAGCTTGAGGCCGCCCCCCTTTTTGTCTGGAGTTCCGTACGGGCGCGCTCTTTCGTAGGAGCATTCGGGGATGGACAGACCTCCCTTTAGTAAAACGTGGTTTAGTGAAAACGACCTGAGGCCCAAACCTGGCGGGCGCAAGCCTGGAAAATAACGGCCGCGGCGCCCTCTCGAGAACCGAAAACGGACAATTCACTAATCGACGTGTCACTGTTGGGGGTTTTGTCCGCCCCCGAAACATCACAAGCCTCATCCAGACTTCCACGTCTGCTCACACCCCCGAGGCCCCGGCGGCGCGCACGGGGGGGTGGCGCGAGGGGGGCGACCTTCGCTGGCCATCGCTCGGACGTCCACTCCCCGCGCTTTTTGCAGTTCCGTGCGTGTGTTTTTTTTTCGCCAAGCGATCAGGAATGCTCTTCGACTGTCCTCGATCAAGGATGCTGCTCTTCGACTGTCCTCGCCGAAGGAAAAAATGGACACGTCCGAGCGATGTGCCAAGTTCGAGGAAGGCAAGGGCGCAGCGACCAGCCTGCTCACCTCTGTGGGCCTCGGCGGCGCGCACAAGGGGGGGTGCCGCGAGGAGGGCGACCTTCTGAGAAGACCAGGCAGCAGCGCGCCCAGCTTTCCAGCGAGCCGCCCCCCTCGCGCTACCCCTGTGTGCGCGCCGCCGAGAAAACGAGGGAGAAACGCAGGACACCTTACCACAAAGGGTGGAACGGCAGCTGAAATAGGAGGAAAGCCCGACTCGCTTCCTCCTGTTGGCGCGAGCCTCAATTACCGTGGCGCCTCCCGACCAGAATCCGCTCAAAGCCAACTGTCCCGAGCCCTCCAGCACACCATCCTGATCAAGTCTTCGAGACGCACCCAGCATTGGTGACGAGGGCTCTCTCCAATGCCACAAGGAGTTCTGGATAAGCGCAAAAGAGAGAGAGAGAGAGAGAGAGAAAAGTAGACGTCGAAGAAAGCCTTCTTTTGCACGTCGGTGGTCACGTTGTACACTCCGGGGTCCGGGTGGTCCTGCAAGATCCGGGGCACCTCCCGCCCCTGCCGGACTCAGCCTGGCCTCCGCCGCCAGGGGCTCGGGCCTCTCCTCCCTGCCGTGCTTGCGCCCCTAGTGGGAATGTGCCTCTTCTTCGTCTTCGACGTGTTGCTCTTATTATCATGTTTCTTCTCCTTCTTCTGATTAGGCTTCTTATTCGTCTGCCTCTGCTTCTACCACCACGCAGCGAAAACACTTCGGGGCAACGCGTGTGCCGCCGCACGCGTAGGAGGCAACACGGCCCTACAAAAGCAGCCGAAACGCCGCCGGGTCATCCCCGATACGTCGCACTCGGACGCCCAGAAGAAGGAGGAGGAGGAGGAGGAGGAGGAGGAGGAGGAGGAGGAGGAGGAGGAGGAGGAGGAGGAGGAGGAGGAGAGGAGGAGGAGGAGGAGGAGGAGGAGGGGAGGGGGAGGAGGAGGAGGAGGAGGAGGAGGAGGAGGAGGAGGAGGAGGAGGAGGAGGAGGAGGAGGAGGAGGAGGAACACGTGAACAACGACCTACAGCCATGAGGGAGCGAAGAGGAGGAGGAGGAGGAGGAGGAGGAGGACGAGGGGGAGGAGGAGGAGCAGAAGGATAGTCGCCAAGACAGAAGACAGAGGACGGGGAGCAGAAGGAGGGGAGGAGCCAGAAGGACAAGGAGCCGTCATCATTGAACCGCCCCCTATCGCCATGGGCGTGGCCTGGGCCTCACTGGCCGATTTACCCCCCAAGATGGGGATAGAGGCCGTTTCCTCCATGTCTCGATGGGTATCTCCCCAACCGGGGTGGTGGGATGGCGGGGGTCTGGACGGGGATGGGGATGGGGACAGGGCTCGGCCAACCGATGCTGCAAAAGCGGGGATGGGGACGGAGGAGAGGACGCGGCGGCGGAGGACCGACACCCCACGCGCGCCGGTGCCCGCCCGCGGGCCCCTGGGGCCGCTGGTGCTGGCGGCAGCTCCGGCGCTGGGCCGGGCCCCGCAGGGGCGGCGCCACGGCGGGTGTCCCGGCCATCCTCTCGCAGAGGCAAGTGCTCCTGGCCCCCCTCCTCTCGGAGAGGAAATTCCTCCCTCGTGTCCCGGCCATCCTCCCCCTCCCCCTCCTCCAGAAGAGGAGACGGCTGAATCCAAGGCAGCTGTCGGAGCTCCGAGCGGATGCCTCGCCCGCGGAAGTCGCCCGAGTCCCACGCCGATCCGGGAACTCCGCGCGGAGCTCCGACAGTGTGTGTGTGTATGCAACGCACTTGATTATGTTGCAATCCTCGACGCCCTCCTCTGCCCAAGCCTGAGGGGCGAACGATAGGACTAGCTCAAGGGGGGACGCGTTGACCTGGTATCGGCGATACTTCGCCGATGGATCGGCGACAAACTCTCGATCACAAAACCTCGCCACGCCTGGGCGGAGCGGGCTATCAGTGAGGCCCCCATCTGTGATGAGAGGGCGACTGGAAGATCGATGCGTTCCCCCATTGAGCCCTCCCGCGCACGGCCAGAGGGCCTGCGCTGGATAGGCCCCGAAGAGATCCGTCAGAAGGGGTGGGGGGGGGGCGAGGGCGAACCCGCTCAGCGCTCAACATCGGCCCCTCGGACCCCTCCTCGCCATCGCTCGGACGTCCATTCCCTGTGCATTTTTCTCGGTTTCGTGCGTGGCTTTTTTCGCCAGATGATCAAGGATGCTCTTCGATGGTTTTCTCCGAAGGAAAAATGCACACGTCCGAGCGATGCCACGCCTCCTGGCGTCGACCTTGACCGGGCCGGGCGACGAGCAGCGCCGAGCAGCGGCGACGAGGGGGCCCCTGTTTCCCCCCCCCCCCGCCGGTGCCGAGCCACCTCGGCCCACCGGCCGGCTCCCGACCCCCCGGAGCCGCCCGCTGACATTGCCCCCGACTGGCCATCGCTCGGACGTCCATTCCTCGTGTATGTTTCGGTTTCGTGCGTGTTTTTTTTTGCTCGATGGTCCAGGATGCTCCTCGATGGTCATCGCCGAAAAAAATGCACACGTCCGAGCGGTGCCAAGCCGATGGCTTCTAGATCATAACGCAGCTCTCCGGCGACCATTCGGCACGATCCAGGACCCTCCAGAACGCCCTCGGCGAGGCGCAGCTGCGGGAAAGCATCCGGAGGCTGGAAGACCGTCGAGAACCGACGACAACGTCCGACAACGTCAGACCTCGAACCCCAAAACGCTCCTGACGTTGCCCCTGAGCTAGGGCGATGCGTGCGCCATTGTAGGATCGATGCGTTCAGAGCGTGTGAACTCTGGCAAATTCAATTACATGGAGGGAGGGAGGCGTGGCGAGGCCCGCAAGGAATTCTGGACATCACGCAAGTCGGCACCCGCTTGCACGCCTTGTCAGACCAGCCCTGAGCCTCCAGCTGTCGTTGCCCCCGAAAGCCCCTGCCCCCTTGGTGGCGCCTGCTCGAAGTAGCCAAGCGGCTTGTTCGCCTGGCCGGCGGCACGGGACTCTGGCGGCAGGGGCGCCAGGGGCCCTCGAACGACGACGACGACGGCATCGACGACGCCCTTGAGGCCTTCGCCGCAAGCTTCCGCTGAGCGCTGCTGGAGTTCCCTGGGCAGCGACGACGGCACCGACGACGACGACGCCGTTGACGCCTTCGCCTCGGGCACAGCCCTCGCACGTCTCGTGGCCCCTTAGGGAGCTCCACCGAAGGCCCCAATGGCAAAACTTGCATATGTGATCAGGCCCGTTCCTGCACACCTTTCACATGTTTCTTGGCGCCAAAAGGAGCTCCACTGAAGGCGATCAACAAGCGCGGTACTCACAACCACATATGGTTGGGCCCTTCGCCAAGATATTGTTCGTCTGTCCTGCTCTCCAGGCGGGAGCGCCAAAGCGGCGCGAAACTTCCGGGGAACCGTCCGCTCTGGGGGCCCGTGTCTCGGAGCAAGGCGAGATGAAACAACGGCAGCCCAAAATTCAGGGAAGACGAAACCGAGTAACACCTATCGGGGATGGACAGACCCCCCTGTAGTAAAACGTGGTTTAGTGAAAACGACCTGAGGCCCAAACCTGGCGGGCGCAAGCCTGGAAAATAACGGCCACGGCGCCTTCTCGAGAACCGAAAACGGACAATTCGCCGGCCCAACGGGCCAGAGGCGTGCTAAGATCTCCGGTAACTTGTTAACAATATTTCTAGTTCGCGCGCGCGGAGCGGCCCCTGGGGGCCCCCGGACGAAAAGTACCCCGGCAAGGTCCCGAGAGAAGCCCGGGAGAAGCCACCAGACCACTCCAGGGGAGGGTATTTTTCGACACCCCTCACGAGGATCGTGGCCTCCGAGGGGGGAGCCGCAATCGACTACCCCCAAGAGCCCCCCAAGAGGCCCTGGGGGCCTCCAAAACGCCGCCAAGGAGCCCCAAGAGACTCCCAAGAGGTCCCCAAGAGGCCCCCAAGAGGCCCTAAAGAGGGCTCCAGGGCCGGCGGCATGAGCGAAGCGATTAAATTCACTAATCGACGTGTCACTGTTGGGGGTTCTGTCCACCCCCGAACCTAAAGGAGATAATTGACCCATTATGTAATGTAATCCGGACAGAGAGACTGCAACGGCCAGAACAAGAAGGCTGCATGGCAGTTTATTTCTCGCAACGCGAGAAAAAACTGCACTGCATTGTTGCTGCAACTGGCTGCAGAAAAAAAAGCAAACACACCGACAAGATGTGGCAGGTGCTGCATGGAACGCGACAGTCCCAAACACCTGCACTGCAACGAAATGCGCGTTCGTTGCCTCGAACCGGCCGTTTCCTGTTACAACCGTCTGTTGTGGCCCCGTCTCCGCTTCCCTGAAACATCTGTTCCTGGATCCCTCCTGGTGTCCACAGGCGCCAATTTGCCGAGCTCCGTGCAGCCGTGGCGACGAGTGAGATCCCCAAAAGGCCAGCTCCTGCCAGTCTCAACTCGCCCTCCTCCGACATCTGTCGAGCGCCACGGGTGGTTCTCGCTGACGACGGCACCGGCGACGACGTCATCAACGTCTTCGAAATCGGGCTTCTGTCGAGCGCTACTGAAGGCGCTCGCGGACGACGGCATCGGCGATGACGCCGCCGACGCCTTCGCCTCGGGCTTCTGCCGCGTCCGCTCCTGGAGGTGCTCGCTGAGGACGGACGGCATCGACGACGACACCGTGGACGCCTTCGCCTCGGGCTTCTGCCGCGTCCGCTGCTGGAGGTGCTCGCTGACGACGACATCGGCGACGAAGTCGCCGACGCCTTCGAGATCGGGCTTCTGCCGCGTCTGCTGCTCGAGGTGCTATCAGCCGACGGGAGGGCGCGGCTCGGGGACCCAGCCTGGAGGGGCCCGTGAAGGGGGCCTGCGGGCCTGGGGGCCGACTAGCGGAGCTGGGCCGGCCCCCGGGCCCTACATTATGCCATGGCTGGGTTCCCCGTGTATGTCTCGTTGTCGTGCGTGTTTTCTTTTTCGCTCGATGACCCAAGATGCTCCTCGATGGCCCTCGCCGAAACAAATCTACAAGTCCCAGCGAAGTCAACACATGATCATTGACCAGACTCCTTATCACACACAAACAGCCGCGCCCCGACGGCGCATCGGCAAGATCTGGCTGAAATTACGTGGGAGCCTGCGCGCACGAAGGCGTGAAAGAATTGCGACCCCGATCGCTGTCCCTAAAACGGGGCAAGGCGGCACGTCTTTTTCCTCGCTTCTGAGACGCATCTATTGATTGTTCGGAGCGTTGCTGGTGTTACAAAACGGTGTTCCTGCTGCAGCGTGGGCCTCTTTTTAGGATCGACGCTTTGCTGCTGTCGTCCAGAATGGTGTTTTCGCCAAAGCGCGGGGCATCAATTCTGGATCCGAGTCCTTTCTCGCCGTTTTCGCCCAACTCTTTTCTCCTCCCCCACCTTCCTGTGGTTCTCCTGCTCCTCCCGCCGCTCCTGTTCACATGTTTGCTGCTGCTGCTGCTGCTGTTCCTGCTCGTCCTCCTCCGCGCTCATCCTCATCCCCCTTCTCGTGTTCATCCTGTTGCTCCTCCGCCACATCCTCCCCCTTCTCCTCCGCCTCCTCCTCCTCCTGAACTGTACACAGCTCCAATTTCTGATTGCGCATGGGGCCTTTGGGGGTTCAGGTCCGCTATGACACCCGCCGGGGGAGGAAACAATCAAACAACACCGCCCTGGGACGGGAGCGGTAGAAAAGGGCAGGATGCCCGATATGGCGCGATCGCGCCTAGCCTGTCTTCGTTGCCCTCTCCTCTGCACTGGCATGCAGGGCGTGTGCGAAGATGCGTGGCCTTCACGCGCAAAGCGTCTGAAACCCTAGCGACTGCAACAGTTCAGTCTGGCCAAGCCCACGGGATGGCCATGTGTGTGCGAGTGTGTGTATGTGTGTGTTTGCGCGCGAGAGAGAGAGAGAGAGAGAGAGAAAAAAAGGTCGACCTCTTTTTTGTCCAGCGCGAGTTCGGGATGAAACGCACACTGCGATGAGCAATGTCTGCAATCTTGACTGTAGAACCTGCGATGGCACCGGGCACGGGGCTTCGGTAGGAACGGGGAGAAAAGAAAAAGAGGAGGAGGAGGACGAAAAGGACGATCGTGGCTCGACGGCAGTCCCGCAGATCGGTTGCTTAGAACGCTGGCCCGTGCTTAAACTTCAAAAACAAATCAGGGACACGTGGTGGTAGAGGGCGGGAGGCAAGAAGGAGGAAGAGGGGAGAAAAGGACAAACGGACAGTGGCAATGACGTTGTATGTGCATGCCCCGCGATCTCAAATCTCAATCATAGAGTAAGGTTCGACACGACGACTATCTACGAGAAGCCAACTCGTGCACACTTAGTTTGGACCCCGTGCGGGTCGCAAATTATAGCGAAAAGTCCAAAATACTATCGCACTGAAGGTGGGGTCGATGAGATGAGGAGAAGAAACAGAAAACAAGAGGAATGACACATCACAGATGGGGTGCACGCGCTCGCCACGAATTCTTGATGAAAATGAAAGCGGGGAACGCGGGGTCAGTCAGAAGCGACGCTACTCCGCAGCGGCTGACATGGGCGAGCCTGGGCGGCCAAAGCAGCCCAGGGTCGGCCAGCAGCACCTGCAAGCACCACCGCGCAATGCCCGTGCACACCGTGGCATCGACGCCGCCAATTCAGGAAAAAAAAAACAACGGGGGCAGAACTCGAAGGAAAGCAGGGGGGCCACCAATTCGAAGGAAAGCAAGGGGGCGGGGCTGGCCGAACCTCGAACTTCCTCTGCTGCGCCGAAAATCAACATTCCTCGGTTCAGATCTGGGGTTCCAAAGAGCAGCGTCCGGGCGCGGGGGGGATCGGGGACGAAACAAGCAAAAGAAACAGAAAAGAGGCCCATCCCAACAAGGTTAGCCGGCGCACCGCCTCCTGGAGGCAAGGGCGGGAGGAACGAGACGTGGGGGGGAAGGAAGGAAGTCCCGTCTAGGGCCCGGGGGGGGGGCGGGACGCCACAAAAGATAACGTCGACCCTACCAGTTAATGTCAGCAGCGCAAGCAACATAATCTGCAGCTCTGCGATATCATTATTTTGGTTATGTCACTACTTTTTGCCAACAGCCCAGGCGCCGCCCTTTGCAAAATCTCCGCAAAGAATCTTCGAACCCCATCCATGGTCGCGACGACGGGCGCGCGAAGCGTGACGATCCCAAGCAAGATACGGCGGCCTGCCGTTCCGAGTCTCTCCAGATGGGAACCTTCTTCGCCGATGACGGCCGGCTGAACTTAAGCGACTCTTGAATCCCATGCCCACTTCCGTCGAAAATGCTCCGGCGCCCACTCTTTGAAGCCAGCGTTGCCTGCGTGCTTCCGTGCCTTATGAGTGGCGCGTTGGACCCAGTCCACCCGCGGCTCGCCTTCCTGCCGCCCGCAGCCAACGATGCGCCGGAACATTGCGCTCTAAGTGGCCTTGCTGCCCAATTCTTCTCTTCGTGGTGTCCACGACTCAACATACCACAGCACGCTTTCTGTGACCGTGGACTCAAATAGCTTCAAGGTATTTTGAAACGAACAGGATTTACTCAACAACAAGAGCTTCGAATCCTAAGATGTTCCCACCCAGCTACGAGCCCGTTATCGATGTCAGCCCCGGTGAAAGGAACGACAGTTCCAAGTATTTCCAGATGCTCTCCCTCCTTCCAAACATCGATGCAGAAACTGTCGACTAAAGACACTTGGTCCCTGCGCTTGACATTCGGCCCATTGGCCTGTACCTTGCACTTGCTCGGGTGCAGGGACAAGCCGCTCCTCGCCAAAACATCTCCTCGACGTCCGAATCGCCCGCTTGATAAAAAGCCAGCTGCGCGCGATCAGGGTCTGATCGCCCGCGAATGCTACGTGGGGAAGGCGATGGCCCCAGAGGTCCTGCCCAAGGCTGGAGCCAGAAGCCTATCTTCTCCAAATCACACCCACCTCGCGCAACACTCCGCCAAAAACGATGTTGAACGATACTGGCGACCGAAATTCGCCTTGCTTTGCGCGTCTCTGCGCAATGAAGCGCCGGACCTGCGCGCGGTCCCAAAGCGAAACATACCCTTTGACGCCGTGGTACAGGTGCCGCAAACCACTTACAGAAGACGGCACGATATCGTTCCTCATCATGGTGTCCAACAACGCAGCGTCGTGGACTCTGTTGAATCCTCTTTCCATGTCCAACGTGGCAAGCCACAATTTTTCGCCCCATTCCAACGACTCCTCGGCAAACGTTCGAACAATGCGAACTGCATCTGAGCATCCTTTTCCTGGACGGAAGCCAAACTACCTGTAAAATAACTTGGAACCGGTGTCCGATGCAAGCCCGGGATGCTGCACGGTACTGAACAGCTTGGCCATGACGGGACTGACACAGCACGGTACTGGTGCAGGACGGTATTGAACAGCCGAGGAGTGGGGGAGGAGTGCAGACCGTCCACGACGGACTTGGCGAGCACCGTGCGGAGCTGCAGCTTACTGTGGGCAATGCAACATCTGCTCGCCAAGCCGTGCCGTGGAGACGACGCGTCACGGACTCGGTGCGGCGCGGCTGCAGCTAGGTGGCCAGACAGCGGCTACAAAGGAGGGTGGGTGAAGGGCGTTCCAGAGGGGTGCGGCGGGACTGGCACTCCCTACTGCTCGTTGCCTTCAAAGGAAAAACATTGCGCTGGAAAGAATCACTGGACGTGTCCAGGTCATGTGAACAGGAACGACGCTCTCGCGCCGACGCCTGTGAGAAACTGGACGAACATCCTAGGCTGGACGTCCTGCATCCGAGCGTACTGTCTGAGAACGCACTTGGCCTGACACGTCACCCGAATTCCAAAGTATCCGTGTCTCGAAATTGTATGGGTCTCTCTCGGCTGACATTACGGCGCGCGACTTGAAACAATATCTACAATGTATCGTACCATGTCGCTGGGAGGCCCCATCGAGCAGTCGTAAAATTGTCCACTGGAATGTGTAAGAAAACGCGAGAAGTATGGCAACCTGTAACATCTGGCCTCTGTTCGTGAAATCAAATGGCGACAGGATTCCCTGAAAAATAACAAACGTACTACTCAACATGTACGCCGTTCGCGAAATTCCATGCGAACAGGAACGGCCCATGGCCCAATAGCTTTCCAAGATAATTCTGCCGCGGGCCAAAGCTCAACGCCCACACAATTAGTATCGATTGTGGTAGCAGCGGGTTGCAATACGTACCCACATCCACCCAATGTGACACGTTTTTTTGATCATGGAATGTGGCGGCAATAATAACCACACCGAACACGACGTCCGCACACAAAACAGCAACGCCAACCCACATAGTCCTGTAAATAACACTGGTTCAAGATGGCTCCCGCTTGGCAGGTCAAACGGGGTAACAGCACGCCAGACACGAAAACAGGCACTCGTGACAGCACGGCATGTCTCATACGCCTCGAACATTCAGTCGCACCCCGCCGCGAGCAAGCCACGGTTCGAAAACATCCTTCAAGCTGGCAGGGAAGTCTGGGCATGGCCACGATCCATTCACATCGAAAACCTTCCGGGATCTTACACAGCTTACGCGTCTGCCTAGAACTGGAGCGATATGAGCCACCGTGACTGCAAAATTACAGCATCCCGCGATGGCCTGGATTAACTTGCTCGAGGAGGGCCGCCCGGTCCTCCCGAAAATTCCTTGTTCAAGGGCTGGGCAGAAAAACTACAATTGAATAGTCACTGGTACAAAGAATCTGCCCATCGCCCCACCCCTTTGGATGAAGAAATAAAAGAAGAAAGAATGCGAACTCGACCACGGAACCTGGACTGTACTCGACGGCACAAGGAAACCACATCCGTCGTGCGTAACTGTCGCCGCATTGGTCTCGTAGACGGCAAAGAAAACCAATACAAATGTGCAACGCGCATCCATCACAGAAACATGAACGCGACCACTTCTTTTGTAGAAGCGAAGGGCGCTGTCAGTGTCCTGGCTCCTTGCGGCGCGTCACGCTACCCACTCAGCACTAGAAACGTAGACGACCACTGTCCAACACTCTCAAGCCAACGTGCTCACGAACAATCATGGTGGCAGGGAGGATACGGAAGCCTGTCAGAGCATCAGTGTTGCTCTGCCGAGTGGCGTAGCCCTTGCTGCAGTACTTCGCCACCACCATGGCACACCAAGACAATTATATATACACATAAATTGATGGCGCGCTGTGTTCTTCGAGGACTCGAGCGGCGTGTCCTACATACAGAAGGCCGCCATTGTACACCTGCTGATTGAAAGTGCCAGGTTCGAGAACATAAACACCTCTGACCTGAGGCAAGGCTTGATCCAACAGGTTGCACCTGGCGTCAGGTCGGGCGTGGTCTTCTCCAGGCGAATACTGGAAGAACAATTTGAACATATCCGAACATATTCAGAACCAGTCACCAATAATCGCAAAAGCAGCGCCCTCTGGGTTATTTTGTGACTATTTTGAAATATATCTCCTGTCGAGGAGCATGCTCCTCCTCCTCCTCCTCAAAGTCTTGCGAGCAGACATCTCGGGCACGCTTGCCGTCGAGCTCTCTGAGCTCCCCGAGCAGGCCCCAAACCGGCCCCTGCGCGCTCCTTCCAAAAAGACGCTCGGGGAGTCAGGGAAAACTTCCGTGTGCGGCACCTGTGGCGTCCTCCCGAGCTGGGGTCCGAGCAGATGCGTCGGCGATGCATCGTTGACGAGGAGAGCGAAGAATGACATCAACTTGAAAACTCGAAGGTCCGCGCGGATTTCTAGGATCCGCGCTGGACCCCCCTGGCGGCGCCTTCGGCGCCGCCCCTGGCGCGATCCGCGCGCTCCAGCTCCGCGCTCCAGGAAGACACCGTCAACGTGTTCTTATTCTTCGTTTCGACATTGAGCGAAAAGGGGGGGGAGGGGGGGCGTCTGGCTGCGGACCTCCGCTTAGTGCGACTGCCTGCAACAGCGCGCCCCATGGGGGAGGCATGCACCTGCTCGAAACAGGCGCGACAAAACAGCCAAGATCTACTCCATGGGGGGGGGGGCGAGGGGGAGGAGGGGGAGGAGGAGGAGGGAGGAGGAGGAGGAGAGGAGGAGAGAGGAGGGGGGAGAGGAGGAGGAGGAGGAGGAGGAGGGAGGAGGCGGAGAAGGAGGAGGAGGAGAAGGAGGAGGAGGAAGAGAGGAGAAGGAAGAGCAGGAGGAAGAGGAGGGGGGCGAGGGGGGGGGGGAGGGCCCGCGCCGCTCGGCAAAGAGAACGATCACCATTCCGCTTCCAGGACTGCTGCTTGGAACCCTCCACGGCCTTCTGAGAAGGCCCCCGTCGCGCCTTCTGAGACTCGGCATCGCTCGGACGTCCACTCCCCGTGCATGTTCCGATTTCGCGTGCTCGTTTTTCGCCAGAAGAACCAAAATGCTCCTCGATGGCTCTCGCCTAGGGAAGCATGCGCACGTCCGCGCGATGCCAAGAAGAGACCCCTTCCGCCCTCTGAGATGGCTACTCCCCTCGCGCTGCCCGCTTGTGGGCCCTGCCAAAGTAGAGGCCTCCTAGATGGGGTCGGAGTAGATGAGGTCGGAGGATCGCGCCGCATCGCCGATACATCGGCGATACGACGGCGATGCATCGGTGATGCGCCGCCGATGCATCGTCGACGTCGGCGACGCATCGGCTCGGCGATGCATCGGCGACGTCGACGCGAAGCACATCGGGCTCAACGTGGAGCCGCATCGGCGATGCGGTGCGACCCTCCGACACCATCCACTCGGACCCCATCTAGGAGGCCCAGACCAAAAGAGAGTCGGGGGCGGCCAAGAGTGAGGTCCAAGAGGGCGGGGCTCAAACCATGGCCGGCGGCATGTGCGCGGCCTAGTTTGGGGGGGGGGCCAGGGACGTAACGAAATAAGAAGAGGCGCTCTGAGATCTGGGGAGATATCATGGACCCCGCCATGAAATCCACCCCTCTCCAATCATCACCCCCCTCTTGGCCGCCCCCGAATCTACTCTCCGGACCTCTCACGAGGTGCGTTCTGACCAGGCTCTCGGGGCGAATCCAGCGGTGGCAACGAGGGCCTCCGATGCCCCGAAGGGGGAAAACGGGCGACGGGTTCAGAGGCATGGGTACCCTTTGAGCAGGGACCGAGCGTCCAGGCATTCCTATAATCCTACCACGAAAAGTTCTTAGGACCCAGCAATTTTCTAAGAACGAAAACAATGTTCTTAGAACATAGACCCGATGTGTTAAAACGAGACAGTCCCCGCCAGAAATGTTCTAAGAACATCTCGTGGGAACCACCAAAGGTTCTTATAACATTGTTCGGTAGGGCTATAGGCGAGCCAGGACGCTTCGCCACTCCTCCTCTGAATCTGTCTGGGAGGCCCAGACCAAAAGGAGAGGGGGGGGGAGGGGGGGCGGGGGCACGGCGCGCCGTGTGCCAGCGGCCGCCCTCCGGGCACAGCGGCTTCACGTGACTGGGCGGGCGCGGGCGCGGCGCCCCCCTCCCGAGCTCCCGCGCGACGTGCGGCGCCGGCCGGCGGCGGCGATCGGCGGCCGAGCGCTGATGGGCCTGTCGTCCAGGGCTGGACACCGAAACGTTGTTTTTCCTGTTTGGCTTCGTTTTGTGGTTCGCTGTGCCCTGCCCGTTTTCCTGTGCCTCCCTCCCAGAACAAACAACAACACACAGCCGAAGTCCAGCAAAGCAGCGTTTATAGGTCCAGCCCTGGGGGGAAGGAGGTGGAGGTTGAGGAGGAGGAGGACCCCCTCCCCCTCCTATTTATGGTGGTGGCGGTGGAGAGTAAGCCCACCAAGAGCGGCGACCGACGTCGTCGCGGCAGCGAAGCCTCAGGGAGGGCGGGAGCGTGCGCATCCTGAGGCAGTGGTGCCGCCGGGGCGGTGGGTGCATCTTCTTGCCGGGTCGGACGAGGCGGGAAGGCAGGTGCGTTAGAAAAGGGGAAGCTCGCGAAGAGGCCCGCGTACAGTGGAGGCCAATCCAGAAGACACCTTCCACAAGAAACCCAGCCCTGAGGCCCGAGGACGTCCATTAATTTTGTGTGGGGACGTCACGCTTTCCATAACAAAACCATCCAAACCCAAGAAACCCATGGCACCCTGGAGGTAAACAGGGTGTTTCTTGGCATAGGCCTCCACTGTAGCTGCTTCTCCCGCTGCCAGAGGCGCCAACGCATCGAGGAGAGCGCCCAGAGGCAGGGCCGAAACCAGCTGCGTGCAGCAGATGTCATACCCCCGCTCCGTTCCCGATCTCCCGTTTCGTCCGAGGTCCGCGCGGACTTCTTGGGTCGGCAGCGGTAGGGCGAGACTGGCGCCATGATGCGGTTGGATCAGGACGCGCTCCAGGAGTTCTGGAGCACCTGGCGGCCCTCACCTCTGGTGTCCGCGTGCAGCGACGAGGAAGCCTTGGAACGTGCGACTCTCGTTACGACTTCTCGCTCCCCTGAACTGGGCGCCCCTCGGCTAGAGTGTCCCTGGGCGAGGAGTGACCTTCGGTGCGCGGCTCTCCAAGGCGCAGGCGGGTGGGCCAAACTCGAGGCGGGCGCGAGCCACTGCTATCGCATCGCGCTCGGCTGAGGTCCCCAATGGGCCCGCACCCAAAGCCACTCCGGCGAACGGTCACTCGTATGCATCGCCTCGCCGACCCCTCCCTCCTCCTCCTCCTCCTCCTCCTCCTCTTCCTCCTCCTCCTCCTACTCCACCTCCTCCTCCTCATCTCCTCCTGCTCCTCCTCCTCCCCCTCCTCCTCCTACTCCACCCCTCCTCCTCCTCCCCCTCCTCCTCCTCCTCCTCCTCCTTCACCTCCTCCTCCTACCATGGGCTGGGGGTACCAAGCGGTGGCGATGCCACCGCTCCCCTGGGCCTGTCCAGGGGCGCGGTCTGACCAGAATCCCGTGGCGACTCCAGCCGCGGCAGCGAGGGAAGGGCATCGCGGGAGCCGCACGCATGTAAGGTTAAGTCGGGCCTGTCCCCCTACAGGGGCATGTTCGACGAAAAATAAAAAATACCTCCAAATAATCAACAACATCCAAACATAATCTGGGGACTATTGTTTGAGTATTGCTTGACCTGTTTGGGATATGTGTGGAGTATTTTTTTATTTTTCGTCGTAAATACCCCTGTAGGGGGACACGCCCGACATACATTTAAGGTAAGCGGGCCTTCGGCAGAACCATTGTGTAATGTTTTCTAGAACGACTGAGGCTCGCGAATAATCTACCCCTCAATAGTGTCAACTGTGCTCTGCGCGGCGGCGGTTGTGAACATAGTTTCCTGGTGATGCTCCTGTCCCCGATAGCAGCACTAGAGGCCTCCCAGATGGAGTCGGAGTAGATGGGATCGGATGATCGCACCGCATCCTCGATGCATCACCGATACATCGGCGATGCATCGGTCGGAGATGCATCGGCGACGCCGTCGTGGAGGAGAAGATCGGGCTCCACATCGACCCGCATCGCCGATGCATCGGCGATGCGGCACGATCCTCCGACCCCACCTACTCCGACCCCATCTGGGAGGCAAGATCCCGCCGTGGAGCGCCGGCCCCACCGGCGCAGGGCCTCTCTGCGACCCCGGCCGGGCGCTGCCTCTGGGGGGGCGGGCGAGGCGGTCTCTGGAAGGGCTTGCGCCGTCGGGACCTAGCCTCTCCTCAAGGAGGAGGAGGAGGAGGAGGAGGAGGAGGAGGGGGAGGAGGAGGAGGAGGCAGAAGGAGGAGGAGGAGGAGAAGGAGGAGGAGAAGCAGAAGGAGGAGGAGAGGAGGAGGAGGAGGAGGAGAGGAGGAGAGGAGGAGGAGGAGGGAGGGAGGAGGAGGCTGCCGTCCGCGGCCCTTCCGCCCCCCCCTGGGGGCACCTTTCGTCCCCTCTTGGGGCCCAGGGTTCTGTGGCTCCCATCGCTCGTTGAGGGCCACGTGCCAGAAATGGTGTCGAGCAGCCAGAGAGGTGTCGAGGCACTGGCGAGCGAGTGTCGCCTCCCAGGGCCCGACACGTGCAGACCCTCCGGTTTCGGTGCTCTCCTGGTGCTCGACATGACATGATTCCTGGTGCTCGACATTGTTCCAGCTAGGTTAAAACATCACAACCTCATGGGGGCTTCTTCAGGGCACACAGGTGCACCTTCCTCCACCCCTCCATCGATCGCCCTTCCACTGGGCAGCGCCCGGCCAGGCCTTGGCGTCTCCGAGCCCAGCCCGGGCGGGGGCCACGCGCTCCGGGCGGCGGCCACCATCCAGCCTACAGCCACTCAGGCCACCACGATCACACACACACACACACACGCGCGCGCGCACGCGCACGCACAATCACTCACGCGCGGCGGTCATATCCGAGTCCGCGCCCTCGCGGCATGGATTCCCGGGTGCGATCCCGCGGATGCGCGGTCAGACGGGTGCGTTCCGATCTCCGCAAAGCCGCGGCCTTGGAGCCCGGCCCCCGAGGCCGCAGATACGGACACGTTATATTCGTCGCCCACGAACACTTACACGCCATCACGCCTCCACTTGACACCTCCGCAGCCCAGGACGGCTACCTAGCCAACATGCCAATATGCCACATCACCAGCGCGCCATCCACGTCCGGGTCATCTTTGAGCAGCCCCCCCCGCACCACCCCGCTGGGCCTTGGGCCCGCCCCCCGCACTTCCCCCCCCCCCATCCTGGGCACGTCTCGCTGGTCTCCAGCGAGGCTGGCGGCTGGAAAACCCACACCTCGAGCCAACCAGCCTGATGCACCACGCAAGCCCGTGGTCTCGGCCAGCCTGCACTGGGGGCTCACGCCCTGGGCATGTCGGCTGCACGCAGGAGTGACCCTGGGTAAGAGTGACCTTTGGTGCGCGGTTTTTCGGGGCCGCGGGGGGACCAACCACAGGCGCGCAAGACGCCACCATCGCATCGCGTTCGGCGATTGGGGGGCCCCACTGGGCCCGCACCAAAGGTCACTCCTGCGACAGGTCACTCTTACGTCTGGTCGAGCATGCCCCACCGCCCCCTCGGCCCGCAAATGCTGTCTCTGGGTGCCCCGGGATGGCACGCGGGGCCGCAGGGCGGCTCTCGGCGATGGCACGCGCACCCTGGGGGGCAGAACCGTTGGATGGGCTAGGAAAGGAAGAGGCAGCAGGGGGACTCCAGCTGGGGGAGCAGGGTCACTTTGCTCCGATGAGTTGTGCCCCACGGTGGCGGTCCAGATGGTGTCGGGCTGGCCACTTGTCCGCCCGCCCGGTTCCCTGTCGAATGGAGAGGGCGCATCTCTGACCCGCAGGCGCACACAACTTGGCCCCCAGCTCTCCCCCTGGACATCGCCCCGAGTGCCTGTCCTGCAACGCGTTCCGAAGAAGATTTCGAAACGACCCCAGCCGCGACGAAGGCCCCACCGCAGGCAACAGAATAGCAAGTAGTGTCAAAATATCCCGTCTCCCCACGTTCTGTCTTTCTTGAATCCTACGTCACATGCTGGACGGCCGGCTGCCTATTGCAAATGCGAATTTTCCTAGCTGACTCGACCACCTGCTCCAGAATAATAGATTCAGCCGTGAAGCAAGATTTCGGACCACGAATAGCCTTATAGTCAACCCGGGTAAAGCGGACGCACGATGGATGCAAGGGCCTTGGAATACCATGTCGACACTCTTCGAGCGGGGCGCGGCCAGCGAAAATTGTCGAGGATGGGCCAGAGGGGAAGGATGCAAGGGTGACCTTGGAAAGTCGCTCATCCTTCCTATGCAGAATGACTGCATCTGCTGTGATCATTTGGAACATCACTGCATAACCGGCCTCCCTTCCTTCCAGGACTCTCCAAGATCGCCTCAAACATCTTGTCTCCTCAATGCGTGGGCCCGAGGGACAACCTCAGGGGTGACCAGCTCGGGGAGTGGGCATCTCGACCTGGGATCGGCGATCCATCGCCGACACATCGGCGATATGCCCTCGATGGCGAAACCGGACCTTCCTGGGTGGGATGGGCTATCGGCCCCTATCGGAGTTCAATGGGCCATCAGGGTGTCGAATTGGCGGCGAGCGAAGCGCAGGAAGTGAGAAGGGGCGGGCCTTCTCAGAAGGCTCGGCAGTCCCCCGGCCTTCTGAGAAGTGCTCTGAGCCTCCCCCGAAGACGCAAACAACACTTCTCAGAGGGCGTGAGGGCTTCTGAGAAGTCCCGTCGCATTCCGAGAAGGCCTTCTCCTTCTCATTTCTCCCCTCGCTCATCGCCGACTACCTGGGGCGCGCAAACATTTATTAACGATCCGTGGATTTGGCGCGGGGTCGCCAAATACATGGATCGGGGGAGGTGCCCTCCCCAAAATGCGGCCGGTGCCGCCCCGTTCAGTTCTGCGGCGGAAATCCGCGATCTCCCATGGAAACGGGACCCGTCGCTAATCCACGCCCCCTGGATCCATGTTTGCGATCGCCTGAGACTATCGGAGGTCCATGGGCGATGCGAGCGTTTTTCGATTCGGCGTTTCGACACTGGGCGGAAGGGGGGGGGTGGCGGGAGGGGGGGGGAGTCTGGCTCCAGACCTCTGCTAGCCAAGATCTACTCCATAAGGGGGGGGGAGGGGAGGGATTTGGGGGCCCGCGTCGATCGGCTTTCCTCCTCCTCCTCCTCCCTCCACCTCCTCCCTCTACCTCCCTCCTCCCTCCTCCCTCCCTCCTTCCTCCGCCCCAGAGAGGCTCACGTCGTGGACAAGGTCAGGACGGGATTTGCTTCGCCGCCTTCGGCCTCCCCGGGGCCCGCCCTGGGCCCCGGGACGGTCCACAGAAATGTCAGGAGGAAGAACCCGTCCCCGGGTTGCTCGGAGGGCTGCTCCTCCTGCTTCTCCTCCTCCCAATCCCGTGCGATCGACATGGGTACGGAGAGAACGGGCACGATCACCGACAGCATTTCCTGATCATTTCGAGCATGACTCGCTGTATGTCGAGGCGAGCGTTGTCCATTTGAGTCAGACGGGCCGCCAGCCCTACAGCGGCCGCTGTCGGTGTTGGACAATATGTATTGTTGGACATCGTGCCAATCTTCGGTGGCAACTCATGGGAGCTTTTTTGCGAGTCGACGCTAATCGACGCTAAATCGAGGCTAATCGACTCTACATCGACGCTAGCCGACGCTGAAACCGGCGCTATCTCATCGGCTCCCAAACGCGAATCGACGCCACTCGACGCTAAAGACGGAATTGAGAGGGCACTGTGGCCTCCAGTGATTTGCCACCGAGCCCATGGTTTCCATACCCATCTCGGGCGTCCAAACTCAGGGGAAGGTCATCACCTGGAAGAGGTAGGCCTCCGCCCGCTCCGCCATCGCCAGGACGGGGCTGGCAGAGCGCCCCCCCTTCGAGCACGGCCGGAAGGAGGCTCGGAGGGGGCAGGGGCACGGTCGGACCCAGGACAGACACACGTCCCTCAAGAACACGAGACCCGCCGCTGGCCAAAAACGAACAGAACATGCAAGGGTAGCCTCCCCAGCATGGACAAATTCGTCCACCGAACGCGAAGAACATTGGTGGAAAAGAAAAGTGGCCTAAGCATAAGATTTTGGCGCTCCGCGAAGATTTCCTGGATCCGCGCTGGACCCCCCTCCCTGGCGCGCGGAGCGCGCCAAGGGCGGCGCCAGAGGCGCCGCGGGGGGGGGCCCGGCGCGGGTCCACGAAATCCGCGCGGAGCGCCAAAGGTTTATGTTTACGCCGTGCCGTTTTTTCTTCGAAGCCAGAAGGCACGAAGAACATCCCCAAACCGACCTCGACCCTAATGACACGTACCGGTCCGACTGCGGCGCCCGGGCGGGTGCCCAAACGGGGTCGGCGGCCAGGCCGTGGTCGGCACCGAGATGTGTCCGACGACCCACCAGACCACCCCAACCCAACCCGAAGACCCAAATTTCGGGTTGGGTGGGGGGTACGGGATCCATATGTGTTTTCTCAATGTTCCCCGATCCCCCCCACCACTGGAAATCGAGGGTACATTTGGGCCTTCGGGTTGGGTTGGGGTGGTTCGGTGTTGGTGGGCGGTGAAACTCTATGCCGAACCCTCGGCCGAACTGCCAGGAGATCGGAACTGCCAGGAGTTCGGGACGAGTCCAGCCGTGACGGCGCCGAGCTGCCCCGGCAGGCTCAGGGGGGAACACCAAAAACTCGGTCGGGTGGAGGTCCAGCCGACCAGAGCTCCGGCACCGCGCGGGGCACAAAAACGGAATGGAACGCCTCGCGCGGAGGGTGCTCGTTCGGGCTACGTGTGCGGCTGCTGACCACGAGGAGGAGGAGGAGGAGGAGGAGGAGGAGGAGGAGGAGGAGGAGGAGGAAAATGAGGATGAGGAAACGGCAGCGTGCGGAACACCCTCAGGCCATCAAGAAACAGGAGCACTAAGGATGCTGCGTCAAAGTCGATTATTCAAAAGTAATGCTGGTGAAATGGATGATGGCGATATTCATGCATGTTCGGAGAGGCCTCGCGCATTCCGCCAGACGATCTGCCCTTGATGCGGAACAGGACGAGAGGAACGTGCTGTCAGGCTCAGGGGCGGGTCAATTCGCCACCCCCTTCGCGCATCTTCTGCGCGCCGGGTTTTCTGAGACGCGTGAGAACGATGGATTCGCATGCCCATTCTCCTAGAGGCCTCGATTCGGCACACCCCCCACGCACTTCTTGCATCCATGGGTGCTCAGCTGCTTGCAAAGGACGGCCCCGTGGGGCCTCCATTCGGCACACACCCCACGCACTTCTTGCATCCATGGGTGCTCAGCTGCTTGCAAGGGGCGGCTCCGTGGGGCCTCAGTTCGGCACACCCCGCGCGCATGTGGCGCCACATGGGCGGCTGGGGGGCCATCCGCTGGCCCTCCAGACGGTCGAAGGGAGGCCTCCATTCGGCACACCTCTCAAGCACTTCGCGCCTGGACCCCCAGCAGCACTCAGAAGACCTCCCAGGCGGCCCACGGGAACTGCGCTTCGGCACGCCCCTCACGCACGCCGTGGCCCATGGACAAGGCCGCCTGTTGGCCGCTGAAACCGCCTGCTGCCCCCCAGGGATGCCGAGACGACCCTGAAAAGAACTGCAACGAATGGGGGCGACGACCCCCTCTCGAAACCGCACCGCGCACTCCCGCTGCTTGCAGCATCTGCGCGCGAGTTTACCCGATGGGACCCGTCGTGACCCCACGCTCTGCGGGCCCAGTGTTCATTAGGAGACCCCCTGCAAAAAAACGAAAGGAAAACTGCATACACATGTTTGGTCGGCGGGGCGAGAGCGAGCCTCTTCCGCTAAAGCTAGGCGGGCTACGCACAGCTTAAATTAGGGAGACGGAGCACAGGAAAGCGGGGCCTCAGGCGGCCGGAGCGGGCGGGGCCCGGGGAACAGGCGGTGCCGAAGTGGATGTGCAGGAGCAGGTGCGCCGCGGACTGGTACCGGGGGCGAAGTCCCGGAGGGTGGAAGAGAAGGTGTTGCCGTCGACGGCGCATCGCAAACACCAGCCTCAAGCGCTGCAGAGGGGGAGGTGCCACTTGACCAGATCGACGCCCAGGAAGAAGAGGAGCACCAAGAAAGGCTGCATACACATACGCGTTCGGATCTCCGCGCGGGTTTCTCGGATCGGCGCTGGGCCCCCCCCTGGCGCGCAGGCGACCCTGGCCACGGCGAGCCTCGGCCGCCGAGTCGGTCCCACGACCCAGAGCTGAGGCACGGCCGAACACCAGAGCCCTCCCTGAGCCAATCCTTTTTTCCAGCGTCTTGACGGCATGGATGTTTTCGATCATCGTGCCAACTGTATTTGTGATTCCCCTCTGCACCCCAGCCCGACCAGTCGCGCGGTAGATCTCCTGTTTTGCTTCGTCCATCATCGAGCGAGGGGGTGCACGCTGGATGTAATGCCCCCGCCAGTCCTTAAGATCCAGGCGTCTGCAATTCTACATGTCAGGGCCGCCTCCGGCAAAATGCGCATGTACAACCGACGGCGTGACGATAATCCACAAGAGCCACCGGGAGCGCCTGCCCCTCCGAATATATCATGGCCTCGATGTGATCCACGCAGCCCCCATTGCTCGACTTATCCGCCCACACAGAATCAAAGCCCACGCCGTCGTTATTGTCTGGAGGTCTCGTGGCGCACTGCATGGGGGTGGCCGTTCGGAACGACTCGCCAAGGGCAACGCGAGCAACAATTAACGTCCTCGTGGCATTCTTTGCCAACGGATTTGCGCGCTCCTCTGTGTAATCGTCACCTTTAGAAGAATTGGCAGCGAAATATGCAGCGGTACCGAAGAGCTTGCCAGTAGCCTCGCCACCCCGCCGCGGGTCAAAACCACCCTTGCATATCTTTTCTAAGGTGGACGGTACAGCCCCGTGGAATAAGAAGTGCTCGTTCAAGTCGAAGTCGTGCATGCTCACTGGCACCTTCAAGTGCGAGAGGGCCAAAATCGGACAGCACGTGCCTTGTCGCCTCTTGCCTTCGATATTCTCGAGTTGCGCCAGATATAACTTTTGCAATCTTGGGTTCACCACCGATCGCACCTGGATGACATCCAGCTGCGGCGGATCACAATACTCTGCAGACTGGTAAGCCGCCCTGTGACTCGCGACTGTGCTGACGACAATATGAGACATGAACTTGCCGAATGGGGCATCTCGTGGAATTGGGTCGATTCTGTATTCCAAATAAACGGAAAGACGTGGCAACTGGGCAGCTTGCAGACGTAATGAGTTGTGCTTGTGGTCTATCTCTGGTCCTTGAAGATCACCATCACAAGCCGCGAGCCACAACTGAAAAGTCTTGTCGGAAGATGCAGAAAGAATCTTCTTCCCGTCTGGAGAAAAGCAACAAGCATAAACCCAGCCCGCGTGCCCACGCAAGGTCTGCAGCAGCGTTCCGTCGGTCGCGAGCCACAACTTCAAAGTCCTGTAATATGCAGAAAGAATCTTCTTCCCGTCTGGAGAAAAGCAACAAGCATAAACACAGATCGCGTGCCCACTCAAGGTCTGCAGCAGCGTCCCGTCGGTCGCGAGCCACAACTTCAAAGTCTTGTCGCCTGATGCAGAAAGAATCTTCTTCCCGTCTGGAGAGAAGCAACAACGTTCAACACCATCCGCGTGCCCACTCAAGGTCTGCAGCAGCGTTCCGTCGGTCGCGAGCCACAAATTCAAAGTCCTGTCGGAAGATGCAGAAAGAATCTTCTTCCCGTCTGGAGAAAAGCAACAATCATAAACACAGCCCGCGTGCCCACGCAAGGTCTGCAGCAGCGTCCCGTCGGTCGCGAGCCACAACTTCAAAGTCGTGTCGGTTGATGCAGAAAGAATCTTCTTCCCGTCTGGAGAGAAGCAACAACGTTCAACACCATCCGCGTGCCCACTCAAGGTCTGCAGCAGCGTTCCGTCGGTCGCGAGCCACAACTTCAAAGTCCTGTAAGATGCAGAAAGAATCTTCTTCCCGTCTGGAGAAAAGCAACAAGCATAAACACAGATCGCGTGCCCACTCAAGGTCTGCAGCAGCGTCCCGTCGGTCGCGAGCCACAACTTCAAAGTCGTGTCGTTTGATGCAGAAAGAATCTTCTTCCCGTCTGGAGAGAAGCAACAACGATAAACACGATCCGCGTGCCCACTCAAGGTCTGCAGCAGCGTTCCGTCGGTCGCGAGCCACAACTTCAAAGTCTTGTCGCCTGATGCAGAAAGAATCTTCTTCCCGTCTGGAGAGAAGCAACAATCATGAACAGGGCCCGCGTGCCCGCGAATGGTTTGGCCAGCAGAATATGTCATCCGCCGCAAGCTGCGCCTCCAAACCGAACCAATAAACCTACACTCGAACCTTCGGCAAACATCGCTACGGAAGTCGCGCGGGAGATCTTGGTCAAGGAGTGGGGTCGGATGATCGCGCCGCATCGCCGACGCATCGCCGACGCCTCGCCCATGCCTCGGTGATGCATCTGCGACGTCGGCGTGGAAACCATCGGGCCCCACCTGGAGCCGAAACGCCGATACGTCGACGATTCGGCGCGACCATCCGACCCCATCTGCTCGGATGCCACCCTGGAGGCCTGGACAATACTGGTCCTCCTCCAACCCTGGGGGTGTTCTCAGCCATCGTGCCAATCGTATCTGTGTCTTGCTCATCGGTAACCCTCGGGGATGGACAGACCTCCCTTTAGCAAAACGTGGTTTGGTGAAAACGACCTGAGGCCCACACCTGGCGGGCGCGAGCCTGGAAAATGACGGCCGCGGTGCCCCCTCGAGAACCGAAAAAGGACAATTCACTAATCGACGTGTCACTGCTGGGGGTTCTGTCCACCCCCGAACCCCGGCCCGACCGGCCGTGCGGGCGATCCGGAGCAGCGGCGGGATCGGCGCCGCCGCCGGGCCGAGCTGCGGGCTCCATCGACTCCTGGACGTCGTGCGCGCCGGGCCCGGGGATGTGCCTGGGAGCTTCTCTGTTGTTCCTTCCTCCTCCCCCTCCCCATCCCTCTCCTCCTCCTGCTCTTCTCCTCCCCTCCTCTTCCTCCCCTCCCCAGCCCTCCTACTCCCCTCCCTCCTCCTCTCCTCCCTCCTCCTCCTCCTCCCCCTCCTCCCCCCCCTCCCTCTCCTCCTCCTCCCCTCCCCTCCCTTCTCTGTTTGTCCTTCCTCCTCCCCCTTCCCTCTCCTCCTCCTCCTCGTCCTCCCCCCCCCCCCCCCAAAGATGGCCCACGCAGGCCCCAAGAAGCCCCCAGGATAATGCCAACAAATTCCCCACCTGATCGAGACGGGTCCAGTACGGCCCCAATACGGGGAAAGAGAGTCCCAAAGCAGTCCAACCACGACTGCCCCACAGGAACCCAAGACGGCCCAGGTAGCTCCATTGAGATCTCATCACTAAACAGAGACCAGATCTGTCACATTTGACAGCCATCTGGGCGGTGCTCGAGACGTCGCGACCCAATGCTGCGCTGGCACGGTGGCGGGACTTGCCGCAAGCAGCTGGATTGAAACAAGAGTAGGGAGGGAGAGGGGAACAGCGGGAGGGAGGAGTGGGAGGGGGCGATGATGAAAGGAGGGGGAGGAGGAGGAGGAGGGAGGGGGGATCCAGGTCAAGAGAGGCATCTCAGCGGCATCTCACGAAGCTGGTTCGGAAGACATGGGATCGGTTTGCGAGACAAGGGGGTGAATTTTCAAGGGCGCTTGAACCGATCCCGCTTTGACCGATACCCCTGCCCCTTTCGTTTGACTGCCCGTCCATTGTTTCAGCAGTGCTCGCACACTTCCATTTCCACGACAAATCGTCTCCATGTGTCCCACTTCCAGGTAGTTTGGCTGGTGGCAATTCCAAGACGTGCGCCAACTGCCAATACTACGTACAAGTGCGGTACGACATAATACTAACTGTAGGTGCACTGCAACATTCGCGGATTGGGAAATTTGGCGTGGAGTGACGTTCAAACTGGACCGAAGTACTGACAATGCCAGCTGAAAGTGTGATGTCCTTCTCGTGGAGCAGAAGTGTGAGAGAGAGGAGGCAGAGGAGGGATTGAACTATACATTTGCAAAGGCGGGTGATTCCATACATGCACTTGCCTGGCCCAGAAACGTTTTTCGAGCAGCCTGCCCGACGATAAGCGACGGACTCCACGCTCTTGCCACGTGCCTCAACAATGCAACTGAGGCTGGCGAATTCCAACTCGGAGCTTTCGCATGGGACATCTACTCGTCTTTCCTGAGCGCGTGTACCAGCAGACGCGGCTATAACTGAGACCCAACTGGGAATCAAGTGTGACCCGTGTAATTGTAAAATCCACCACCGTGCCGCGAGGCTCTGAATTTTCTCAAGTCCTCTGCATTGAGTTTTTCAAATTCTCTATGAGGGGCTCATGGGAGTCTCTCGAGTGATTCCAAAGATCGCCGAGTATCACTTCCCGAAAGCATTCATTGACCATCATTGTGTTTCTGTGCTTTCGGCCAAAGGGGGAAGTGAATCATGATGACCCGCGAGACTGTCTAGAAGCGCCCAAGGGGCCCCAAGCGTCTCTAAGAGGCTCACAAGAAGCGCCCAATAGGAGCCCAACATACGCCCAAGATGCCTCGAACAAGGCCTCCAAGATGTCGACAGACAGAAGCATCACAAGAGGCTCCAAGAGGCATCCTACGGAACTCTGGCCCACAGCCCAGGCACGGTGGCGGGATGGGCCGAGTTGCTTCGTCTCTCTCTCCCTCTCTCTCTCTCCCTCCATCTATTATTTGGGGGAGCAAGCAATCACATAAACATAAACCCCCGCGCGGATTTCTCGCATCGTCGCTGGACCCCCGCCCTGTCAGGGGCGGCGGCGGAGGTGCCGCCAGGGGGCCCCAGCGCCGATTCGAGAAATCTGCACGGACCTCCGAGCTTTTTGTGCTGATGCCATCTTTTGTTCCCCCATCTCTCTCTCTCTCTCTCTCTACGATTAGGTCGGGCATGCCCCCCCCCCTACAGGCGGACTTTGGAGCAAAATTTGGAAATAGTCCAACAACATTAAAAACTAGTCGGAACAACGTCCCAAAGACTAACTATGTTGCGACAATTTGAATATTCCTCCTGTAGAGGGGCATGCCCGCCTTGCGTCTACGATCCCCAGGCTCCCCCTCGTCAGCCTCCGGCGAAGCGCAACAACCCCGTGCCCAGAGCCCGAGGCCGCCACTGCACGGCCCGAAAATCGCCGCCCGCTCCGCGCCCTCCTCCGCGGCAGCCCTCTGTAGAGAACTCAACAACAGCATAAGCATGCAGTGGGAAACCGACCACAAAAACCCTTCCACAAGCAGCCCAACCCTGAGACCCCAGGACGTCTATTGATTTGTTGTGTGGGAGCGTCACGCCTTCCATCGCAAAACCATCGAAACACAAAAAACCCAGAGCACCCTCCAGGGCGAGTAAGGGGTTTCTTGGCATGGGTCTCCACTGAAACAATCTGGAGGTCCGCGCGGATCTCTTGGATCGGCGCTCAACTCCAGGTGGTTGTGTTCACGGCAACATGTAGTCATCTACTCTGTCCTCTCTTGCCCCCCCTCCGTAGCCAGTTTGGCTCAAGTTTCGGCTCAGGGGGCGGTCGCTGGCTGCGATCGGTTTTGGGGTGCTCTTCGAGCGAACCATCCAGCCCATGCTGCACCTGGAACAGCGCTAGGCGTCCTCATTGCTTGTCAAGACGACGTCGGAGGCAGCTTGGCAACATCGGGCACGACTTCAACGTGCCGAAGCGGAGGAGCTGGCAAAAATCCAAGAATGCATCAAGCGGTTGGAGCCTGAGGCCGAGGATCCTCAGGTGGCCGCGATCTTGGTCAAAAAGCGAGCGTGGGAGAAGGAGCTTCAGTCGTTGCTCTTGGTCGAGAAGCCCACCACCACCCAGAACAGGACGCTCGAAGCCCAGATGGTCAAGCTCCAGGACCAGGTGGACTCCGACAAGCAGCGGATTGAGGAAACCCTGCAGGAGGTGGAGTCCAGGAGGAAGGAGGTCAGCAAGAATGAGAAGTTCAGGCAGCTCCCGCAGCAGCGCGATGATGCTGTCAGACGCATCCGCACTTCCCCACCACCTCCCCCCGTCTCCGCTGACCCGTAGGACGCGCTCACCGCCTTTGAGGCGCTGGTTGGCTGCTTCGCGGCCATGGCGGGCGTGCCCAACTGCCCGGGGGAGATCAAGACCGCTGGAGTGGCCCTCAACGAGCCCCCTGCGGCCTGCCTTGGAGAAGGCCTCCCAAGCCGCAGCAGCCGCGGCAGCAGCGACGGCCTCCGCAGCAGCAGCGGAGGGTGGTGCTGGCGCTGCTCATGGCCCTGCTCCTGCTGGTGCTCGGGCCAGCGGGGCCGCAGGCCCAGGTGGTGCCCCACCCCCATTCCTCCCACGCAACATCCATGGCCCCAGATTGGGACATGCCGGAGTCCGAGGACGGGGCAGCATACCCAGAATTCATCGACGTGCCCGTGGGGGTGGAGGACGCTGCCGGCGAGGAGGAGGCCAAAGCGTCTAAGCGGCAGAAGCTGGAGGAGGAGGAGGAGGAGGAGGAGGAGGAGGAGCGGACTGAGAAGGCCAAGCGGTTGCTTGAGCGGACGGGGCACGTGTGTCGCAACATTGATAAGCAGAATCCGAAGCAGCGTGAGTGACGCGACAGGGGCACACCCTGCTCGAGTGGAGCTCACATGTACGAGGTCATCCCTTAGAAGTTCATTGTTTGAGCTCACGTTCCTGGGAGCGAACGTCAGCGCTTTGACTTCAGCGTGTGTGTCGTCTTTGACTGGGTCCGCGGTCAAGCTGCCGAAGGTGCTCTTCGGATCGCTGCCCCAGTCCTGACGTCATCGGCCTGCAGGAGACACGGCTCTCCACAGAGTGCGGGGCATTGCTTGCCCAGATCTGGATGGCTGCCACGGGCTACTCATCTTCGATTGGGCTGGCAGCGAAGAGCGGGGAGGGAGTCGTGGTGCACTCTGGGGGTGCATGGCTTGCCGCTGGTATGCAACTACCGTCCCTACCAATCCCCAAGGTGGACCTGGCTGGATACGGTCACAATATTGCCGTCCGACGCGTCCGAGCCGGCCTTCCAGACGGGCTCCTGCTGGTAAACGTGCACGGGGTCTCTGGAGTGGGGCCCGCGAATCCCAACATAGATGTGTCAGAGAAGGTCGGAGAGGTCGCGCTCGGCTGCGGCTCCCCACGGGTGATTCAAGGGGACTTCAACCTGACCCCTCGGGGGCTGGATGACGCAGCTTGGGTCAAGGAGGTGCGCGGCGTGATCGTGGCGCCGGATGTCGACGCCACCTGTGCCCCAGGCCGCATGGGAACGACCAAGGACCCACGCTGGCCACCAGAGCCACCTCGAGAGTCAGGTGCGGCCCTCGCTCCGAAGGGCGATCCGATCAACGAGGCCCCTGCAAGCGCACCTCTGGGGTGCACAAGCCGGTCATGTTTCGCGAATG